ATTAACTATCTATCTATCTATCTATCTATCTATCCTCAGCTGCCGAGTCACACAAGCGTGCACTTGGCATCAGAATGAGGTTAGTTGGGGAGGAACATGTAGAGACCGCCAACTGCTACCATCAGTTGGGGGCTACACGAAGTACATCAGGAGATATCTCCTAAGCTCCTAAGCTTTTGACTCACTTAAGTGTGCACTTGGCATCAGAATAAAGTTATTTGGGGAGGAACTTGCAGAGACCACCGACAGCTACCGTCAGCTGGGTGTTATATAAGATATATATTTCATGCCTGATGAATTTTTAATACCATGGCTAAATAAAGATTGCATGAACAATTCATGACGGATATGGTCTGGTTGGGATGGATCTTTATGAGAGTGAAAAAGACTAGTATCATCAGCAAATCAGAGTTTTTACTATGTCAGATGTATTTGGGAGGTCATTGGAAGAGGTTAAAAACAACAGGAGGCCCAAGATTGAACCTTGAGGGATCCGGATTCCACTTGTAATAGGTTCGAGTCGTGAACGAATTGTGGCAAATTGCACAAACTGTTGCCTGTTTTTTAAATTGCTGGAGATCCAGTCGGGGGTTTTCCTCTTATTGCATAATTATGAAGCTTTTTGAGCAGTATTTGGTGATCAATAGTATCAAAGGCTTAAGAAAGATCAAGAAAAACTCCATCAGTTGTTTCTTTATTGTCTATAGAAGAAGCGATGTTATTTACCAATTGAATTAAAGCTAACGATGTGGAGTGATGTCTGCGAAAACCAAACTGGTTATTGTACAAAAGATTGAAGTCCGTCAGATATTTATAAATACGATTATACACTACTCTTTCATAAAGTTTAGAGAAGGCTAGAAGGATAGAGATGGGCCTATAATTTTCTTTCCTTTCTGGATCACCAGATTTGAATATGGGAACAACTTTCGCTATTTTAAAGGTGTCTGGAAAACACCCATTCTCTAAAGAGAGGTTAATAATCTTTGTTAAGGGCTCAACAATAATGTCAGTAGCCTCCTATAAGTGGTAGAAGCCACAAAAATATTTAAAAACTCAAATAATTCTTTAGAATACGATATGCTTCGACGTCAACTTCTAATTTCTAGAAAAACTCGTGACAAGAAGGTGATTATGACTGACTACGCTCGCTTTTGTGACATTTAAAACTCTTTTGATGAATTTGCTTCTGATTATCCTTGACATTTCATTTAAACCAAATAGAGAGATCATGTCTTGTTTTTAGTCTTAAGACCCCGAAAGGAAAANCTTCCTGAAACAATAAGGCAAGCAGAATCTCTATGTAATTTTAAGTCTCTTTTACACAGTTATAATAGTATTTAAGGCACGGCATTCATGGAAAACAGGCTTTTTGCTTTGTATATAATTGAATGATTTTATAATGTAATTTAGTTGAACAATGCAACTTAGGTTATTTATTTTCATATATCAACTGTTGCCTGTTTTTTAAATAGCTGGAGATCCAGTCGGGGGTTTTCCTCTTATTGCATAATTATGAAGCTTTTTGAGCAGTATTTGGTGGTCAATAGTATCAAAGGCTTAAGAGAGATCAAGAAAAATTCCATCAGTTGTTTCTTTATTGTCTATAGAAGAAGCGATGTTATTTACCAATTGAATTAAGGCTAAAGATGTGGAGTGATGTCTGCGAAAACCAAACTGGTTATTGTACAAAAGATTGAAGTCC